CCGGCTCCCCAGCCCGCCCCCCCCCCCCGCCCCGCATCCCGAAAGCTGCTACACATCAGCCGCGGGCACTGGGAAGGAACAGGCTGAGGGCGTCCAACACCCATCAGACTGGATCTCCTACCACAATAATCGCCATGAAAATCACCCCGCTGGACCCCAGAAGATCTCTCTGGGGGAAAACAAGGTGAACGGGTCACGGGGCCGGAGGACGGCAGGCATTTCTTACTTTTGTCTTCGGGGGAGGGATCAAACCTGTTCCAACCAACGTTACAGGCGCGCAAACGTCACACCCCAAAAGGAGGAGATCCCCAAAAGCCTCCTGTTAACGGCCAGCGAGGCAGGACCCCACAACCGCCACAGAGGAGGGCTTTATAGATCCATGAAGTCTATCCGGGTCCGACGGCAGAGTGAAGGGAACAATTAAATACACTGAGTATATTAAAATCGTCTACGGTGCAAAGGATTCTGTCTGTTTGCCTTTTAAAAAACACTTTAGAAGCAAAAATCCAGGTGGCGACACCGGCCACTGCTAGGTGTGGACGTTACCATTCTTCATGCACTTGGAGCTGGCAGGATGAACCAAAATCCAAAGGGAAAAAAAGCCGTTCCCGTAACTCTACCCGGAGGAAACGTCCACGCGGAAAAGCAGATCCAGGCTGCCGCCTTCCCAGTCACAAACTTCTCCTCCCAAGCTTGCATTTAGGCGCTGGGGGGGTGGGGGGGGAAGGTTTTTGGGATGCGCCAGTCGCTCACCCCCCGATTAGAAGGTTTTTGGGATGCGCCCGTCGCTCACCCCCGATTACCTATAAGGGAAGCAGAGCGGCGCACTGCGTCGGGCCGCCCAGCGGAGCAGGACTCAGCGATTCAGCCAAGCAACAACAACAGCCGATACCCCGTTAGGGAAATTAGGGTTTTTTTGGGGAGGGGTTTGGTGTTTTTTGGGGTTTTTGGGGAGGTTACGCAGGCCACCCGCGTGAAAACCCCTGGAAATCAAAGGAGAGCTCGGTCAGATGTCCCCGGTGCATCAGGGCCGGCATAAACCCCCTGTCTCGGTCTCGGGTATTTTTATTTTTCAAACTTCGAGCACCCTCCGCACAAGGGCACCTCGGCCTTACCCTCGCCCCGTCCCCAGCCTAAGCACGGAAAGATAAAGTAAGACAGACCGACGTCTTACTCGACTGAACTTAAACACTGGGAATTTTTGCACTGCAGGAACCTAAGGGGGCGTTAAAAAAACAAATGAGCTGATGTCTCTGTAAGAGAGCAGGATTACTGCTCTTCCGTTTAGCGCCGTTAAAAAATACAAAGTTCAGCTGCTGCCGAAAGCTGGAAGCAGACTTCAGATGAGCATTGCTGAGCCTGAACCTTGCGACGAGGCCGTGGCTTTGCAGCCCCCGCCTCCGACACCCTTTAAGGCACAGGAATCCAGTGCGAAACAAAACCCCCCCATTTTTTAGAAAACAACCCTTCCAGCCCTCACTTCAGCCTCGTTAGCGAAGGAGATTTGATCACAACCTCTGGCCAGTTGTTCCAATGGCTGAATACCCGTTTTTTAAATTAAAAAAAAAAAAAAAAAAATCCAGCCTGTCTTCCCTTGTCTTCCAGCTGCGTTTAATGCCTTCCGAGTCAAGAGCCGCATCGGTTATCGACGATTCGATCCTGCATCGGCAAAACAGGTACAGGCCGCGCAGCCAAAAAGACCTAACAGGCGCAGCGGTTACGCCGATAAATCCCAGTTTGGTGGGTCGGCGAGCTCCCCCCCGCGAGCGCTCCCGTACCCCAGTTTATTGGATTTGGTAATTAACCCCCCCCCGGCCCCAACCTCCGTTTCTTTCACACCTTCGGGATTACGCCAGATAGAATTGCATTGCGTGATTTCACTGCCTGGATTTTCCCAAAGGTAAAACGAATTGGGCACTCCTGTTCATCCCGCCCTCCCCACCCGGAGGGCGACCCCGG